AATGCACAACAATCTCCTTCAATGATTCAGAAAACTATGCTGTGGGGGCTCCAAATCCCTAACAGGGCATTCCCTCAGGCAGACGCTGATTGGTCAATCAGCAGCATCCCTCTACTCTCATTAACATACATGCTAATTGGCAACTACATAAATACATACGACCTACATTACAGAAAACAGAAAACATAGGCAGCAAGGCAAACTCATTGTATATAAACTATAGTTTAATATTAAAATATCAAACTATCATGAAACTTCTTAGCATCATTTATCTTGTTTTTGGTGTAGACTTGGGTCAAGCAAAAGTTTCTGTATTTCTTATTGTTGCTGCACAAATAGATTTTGTCATAGGAACATATTAACTTATTATTTTTCATATGATGAAGAACTACTGAAATGTGGAATATTATGGGTGTGGTTGTAGACTGGAATATTTGGAGCCAGTGATGAAAAATACCAAAATCAAATCAAATTTCAGATTCTAATTTACAAATAAGCTGTTTCTTCTTCTTTATTGGATACGCTATGTTCTTATCATTGTTATGTTTATAGTTTAATTTGGTAGATTGCTCAATTTTAAACCATCAATTTTATAGGGAAATCACCAGAAGCTTTGGTCATCACACTGACTTCTTTACAGTTATTATAAAGTTAACATGAATGTTTTTGGTCAAATTTCCAGTCTTCACAATTCGGAGTACATGCATCCTTCTGTAAGCTGTTATCACAGATCAGCCCTGGACCTGCAGGCCAATGTTTGGGACCTGTTACTCATTTATAATCAATAAGGTGAAATGAAATGCAGAAGACATCCCTGTTATACAAAGAAACATAAACTCAAAATACTATACAACGGTTTTTATTATAGGTGCTGTATTTGCTGGTCCAATGCCAACAATGGCCACTATAAAGCTGTGTACCGGCCGACCAATCGTCAACCACCCTCACTATGAGGACGCTGGCTTACGGTCAGTGTTTTATCATCTATAAGTTGTTTCTCTGTTACACTGGTAATTTCTCAAGTCTTTACTTTATGAAACCTAAGCCCGCATTCATGAAACCATTCTAATGCTAAAGCATAGATTCTGTGCTCAAACCTACTTTGTTGTAACTCGGTTAAACCTTGTCAAACAATCAAAATGTCAAATATAAACATTGAAAACAGTTTTCGTTCGGCTTTAAGACTCTTCAATGTTTTTACAAAACATTGAAAAAATAAGATTTGTTTATGAATTTATAACTAAAACAAAAATTTTGGCTTGCGCACAAATTCCTTACTTGAGCATGAGAATGGTTTCATGAATACAGGCCCTCAACATTGATTTATGATGTGTACAGTATAAAAAACAATTGACAGTTTTGAATGATGTGTCATTTAGGAAGTAGAAAGTGTAAATTTTATTTTCAAACACTGTATAATGGGATACTTTCACCTGAACAAGTTCTCACCCTACCCTGATAAAATCCATTTCACCCAATGTTAATTTCACCCTTCACCTTTGATTACTATGTTTATTATATCCCCTACTACCGTTGTCTGTAGTGATTAACTCCCTCTCATTATGGAGGGTGAAAAAGGCGAAAATTAAACTCTTGACAAAAAATCCTGTCATACAGTATATAGTGGTAATGTTATAGGAGACCAAAGCAACACAGATGTGTTTTGACTTCCAACGTCTGTCACTTCTATGATTTACCAGTGTTTTGTTTGTAATTTAGGGAGCGGACAAAAGATGTGTATACCATGTACAGCAGAAAGCCTGCTGAAGAAGTGAAAAACATTTTCAAAAAACTTAAAGTCCAGTATGCTATTTTGGAGGAATCCTGGTGTAACCGACGCTCAGGGTAAGTGTTTTGTGTGTGATTTGTAGTCAGGGTAGTTTCTTCGTGTAAGGGCACTCAAAGTAAATGATTCGTGAGTTATTAGTAACGAGGGTAGTTAGGGCCCCGTATCAGAGATACGGGTGCCCTATAGTAATCACTCTGTCTGTCTGTCTGTCTGTCTGTCCGTCCACAAATTTTGTTACTGGCTTATAACTTTGGTATTTATTGACCGATGAACCTGAAACTTGGTCAAAATGTTCAGTTCACAAAAATACACATTGAGGTAAAACGTCAAGGTCAAAGGTCAAGGTCATTAGGTTCAAAGGTCAAGGTCAAATTTTACATCTTTTCACTGATGAACATTTTGTTATGACATTATGAATCAAAGTTGATCAGAATTAAACAAGGAGTCAACTGACCAAAGGTCAAGGTCATCAGGTCAGGGGTCAAGGTCAAATTTTGTAGCTTCTCACTTGTGAACATTTCACTATGACATGAAGCAAAGTTGTTCGGAATTAAAGAAAGAGACACACTGAGGTAAAAAGTCGAGGTCAAAGGTCATGGTCATTAGATGCAAAGGTCAAGGTCAACTTTTGCATCTTTTCACTGATGAATATTTTGTTATGACATGATGAAGCAAAGTTGATCAGAATTAAACAAGAAATTAACTGACCAAAGGTCAAGGTCATTGGGTCAAAGGTCAAGTTCATTGGGTCAAAGGTCAAGGTTAAATTTTGTATCTTTTCACTGGTGAACGTTTCGCTATGACACTTTGTGGCAATGTTGCTCAGAATTAAACAAGTAGTCAATTTTCCAAAGGTCAAGGTCACTTGGTCAAAGGTGAAGGTTAGATTTTGTACCTTTTCCCTGATGAACATTTTGTTATGATATTAACAAGCAAAGTTTGTCGAAATTAAAGAATAAGTCCACTGACCAAAGATCAGGGTCACTGGGTTAATGGTCAAGGTCATTTGGGTCCAAAGGTGAAAGACAAAGCGGATCTCTGACTTTGCCCTGGCTCTTGATGGAGGAGGTATATAAGGTGATATAAAACAAATCAAAGCTAACAAATGAGTTTTGCACCGGTTTTTACATTTCTGTTAGCCCAGCAAATATGGGGGTGGAAGGAAACAAGACTCGCATCATAGTAAATGTAAAATCTATATTTTGCTTCCTTGCGATTCTTTTTGAAGTCCAAATGTCAAACATCAAGCTCAGCTATATGGGCAGATTGCTTCTTGATGTTTATGGGGGATATATTGTCACAAGACGGGGCCCTTACTGACCAATCAGTGTTCTAGTTTCTACTCCCAAGGAGATTCTGTCACCTTGTTATGTTTCATATTCAACAGAGGGAGAAGTACTGTTGAAGCAGTGTGATTAATTTGGAAATTCAAGCTTTAGAATTTTGGGTTAGAAAGTTAGAAAATCTTGCTTTTAACTACAGATTTACACTTATAGGTAAACTTTCTGTCAACAACTGTATGTGTAAAAGATTCCTTTGATTTTTAAACTGCCATTATTCATTAAATTCATTGTTTCATTATGTCTCTGCATCTCCGCTTACAATGAACTATTTGACAGTTGTGTTCTTTGCAAGAAATGTAAAATCTTTTATTTATCAATGGCATTCTAACCATTCTCTGTCTCTTGTAACCTGTGTCTCTTGTTACCTATGTCTCTTGTAACCTATGGTTCTGTACCAAAGATTGGTAGACTTGATGTTTATTCTATTCTTTATCTGTCCTGTTTTGTAGTGTGGGGTGTTCCATGCCAGAGATCTGGGATATTGAGGACAAGGTAAATCGAGGAAAACAGCCGTTATGTCAGAAGCTTCTTATTAACGCTGAGCCTCACTTCAAACGAGTGTTTAGGAACGGTGTGTATCAAGTGTTAAAGATAACGTGACAGTAAGACTGGAGGAAAAGAACTGATGTGGAAAAAGACTGGAGGAAAAGAACTGTCATTGAAAGACATAATAAAGCAAACTTACACTCAGGCTTGCCAATGGAGGGAGGGGAGGGACCAGTAAGACTGGAGGAAAAGAACTGACCTGGAAAGACATAATAAAGTAAAATTACGCTCAGGCTTGCCAATGGAGGGAGGGGAGGGACCAGTAAGACTGGAGGAAAAGAACTAACCTGGAGAGACGTAAAGTAAAATTACACTCAGGCTTGCCAATGGAGGGAGGGGAGGGACCAGTAAGACTGGAGGAAAAGAGCTGACGTGGAAAGACATAATAAAGTAAAATTACACTCAGGCTTGCCAATGGAGGGAAGGGAGGGACCAGTAAGACTGGAGGAAAAGAGCTGACGTGGAAAGACATAATAAAGTAAAATTACACTCAGGCTTGCCAATGGAGGGAGGGGAGGGACCAGTAAGACTGGAGGAAAAGAGCTGACGTGGAAAGACATAATAAAGTAAAATTACACTCAGGCTTGCCAATGGAGGGAAGGGAGGGACCAGTAAGACTGGAGGAAAAGAGCTGACGTGGAAAGACATAATAAAGTAAAATTACACTCAGGCTTGCCAATGGAGGGAGGGGAGGGACCAGTAAGACTGGAGGAAAAGAGCTGACGTGGAAAGACATAATAAAGTAAAATTACACTCAGGCTTGCCAATGGAGGGAAGGGAGGGACCAGTAAGACTGGAGGAAAAGAGCTGACGTGGAAAGACATAATAAAGTAAAATTACACTCAGGCTTGCCAATGGAGGGAGGGGA